CAGGTTGCTAAAAGCCCCACCCAACGTGGCCTTGAACACTGCCAGGGAGGGGACATCCACAGCCTCTCTGGACAACCTGTTTCAGTGTCTCACCACCCTCACAGTAAAGAATTTTTTTTCTACTATCTAATCTAAATCTACCCTCTTTCAGTTTGAAACCATTACTCCTTGTCCTATCACTGCGTTCTGTTGCAGCTGTTTTAGGCATCCCATGTCTTATGCTGCGGGCTCCAGAGCTGGATCAGTACTCCAGGTGGGGTCTTATGAGAGCAGAGTAGAGGGGCAGAATCATCTCCCTTGACCTGCTGGCCACACTCCTTTTGATGCAGCCCAGGATGCGATAGGCTTTCTGGGCTGTGAGTGCACACTGCTGGCTCATATTCAGTTTTTCATCCACCAGTACTCAAGTCATTTTCTGCAGAGCTGCTCTCAATCCGTTCATTGACCAGCCTGTATCTGTGCTTGGGATTGCCCTGACCCAGATGCAGGACCTTGCACTTGGCCTTGTTGAACTTCATGAAGTTCACGTATGCCTACATCTCCAGACTGTCAAGGTCCCTCTGGATGGCATCCTTTCCCTCCAGCATGTTGACAGCACCACATAGCTTGGTGTCATTGGCAAACTTGCTGAGGGTGCACTCAATCCCGCTGTCTGTTGCTAACAAAGATGTTAAATAGTGTCAGTCCCAATACTGACCCCTGAGGAGCACCACTTGTCACTGGTCTCCACTCAGCCATCGAGCCATTGACAGCAACTCTTAGAGTGAGACCATCCAGCCAATTCCTTACCCACTGAGTAGTCCATCTGTCAAATCCATGTCTCTCCAATTCAGGGACAAGGATCACACAGGAAGAACTGACTTCCAAATGTGGGAATTTAAAATCTTGAATGTCTACAGATGGAAGTGAACTTTCAACTGCTAGCTCTCCCTTCTCTTGAGCTGCAGAGAAATAGGAGTGTTAAAGAACAGCATGACCCTGAACACATGCAGATTTGATTCACATCTGCTGTGAATCAGATCTTTCCAATGAGTTTGCACAGACTGAGAAGCTGCCCTGAGAAACAGTTGTTGTTTAGGTAGCTGCCATTCTCTGAGTGAAGCTGCATTTAGAAACAAAGACTTCTGGATTATTTATATATGTGGCTCCTTCTCTTAATGTATTCCAGCCCTCTGCACAGATACTTACCATATGATAGACAGCTATGTCTGCCAGAGGCCACACTGGTAGAACCCAACGTATAAAACTCTTCCAGCTTCTATTGCTCTTGCTGAAATGAGTGGAGAGTAGCACCATCTCAGAGATGTGAATGGCTCTGTATCCTCCCTGCACTATTCTGGAGCTGTAAGAAATCAGTGAAGAATCCATTAAGCCTACTGAATTGGCATTGAAGGAAAAAGAACTAAAGACAGTAAATTCCTATGAAGATTTTTAAAGTTGATTATGGTAGTCAGCAATACTGAGAAACTCATGGGAGATACTAAGGAGTCTGTTAAGCCTGTTTGTCTTTTCTGAAAAAAGATTTTTACAAACAGCATGTGAAACAGCAAAACTGGAACTGATGACAATTATAGTGAAGTAGTAACTGTGGCCATCAGCAGCAAGTTCTATCCAAAGCTGAAGTGAACTATGCAATACTGGAACAGGTTGCCCAGAGAAGCTGTGGCTGCCCTTCTCTGAAAGTATTCAAGGCTGGGTTGGATGGGACTTTGAGCAACCTGGTCTAGTGGAAGGTGTCCCTGCCCATAGCCGGGGGATTGGACTAGATAATCTTCAAGGTCCCTTCCATCCTATGAATTCTGTGAATATTTTTCAATAGTAAAGTGCTGCTTTACTAAAAATACTGACAACAATTTGCCTTCACACACACACACACACACAAAAATGCCAGCTCACATTTTGCTTTTTGGTACAACAGACATTGTCAGGCACTGTGGCGGCTGGTTCCTCAGGGACGGGGAGCCAGGAGCCAACTGCAGTAACACAGCCAGCAGGACAGGTGCCTTGCCAGCTGGGGGCCATACCGCAACACCTGAGTGAGGCAAGCAGGGCAGATCTGGCACAACAGCTAGGGTCAGCCGAGAGTCATGATGGCTAGAGAAGCCTTCAGGGATGAGGTAGGTCTGAGATCAAGCAAGGAAATAAATCTGCAGGTCAGGGCCAGGTTCAGACATAGTGCAGTGATTACCAGGCAGGCCCATCATGATGAAGCACATCTGAAATCAAGTGAGGAAGTCAGACCATGGATCAGGGTCTGGATCAACAGGGTCCATGGCCAGATACAGGCATGGCTGTGACAGAGCTGGAGAGAGACACACCTACAACATAGCTCAGCAGAGACTGAAAGCCCAGGGCTGAGCTGAAATGCATCCCCTCGGGCCACGAACAGGAGGTGTAGGTGGAATCCCCAGGTGGGGCTGGCCAAGGCCATTAAAGCCTTTCGGTGAACTCAGGGCCGTGACACAAAGTTTTGCAATGAAACATTTTAGTCCCCTGCCTTCAAGATGAAAATCTGCTGCTTCTTTGGGAGCACTTCAGGAAAAACGATCCATTTTTCTACTTCATTTATGTCTGCTATTTATCATGAGGTTTCCCCCCCATGTATTTCTGCCAGAGACAGAACTTAGATTACAGAGTTTCTAGGGAGAGCTGGGGAGGGTGCTGAGGTATTTTTCATCAACACAAGTCATACAGTTATTTGGCTATAGAAGGATACAAACTGTCCTGGCAATAGCATCTTCCTTGCCAAATCTCAAAATAAGAAAACACCAGTGTCAACAGAAAATTCTTCTACAGGCAGAATTAGATTTCCACACCTCCTCTCCATTCCTGTAACTGAGAGTATAGTCATCTACAATGACTGTAGCTCTGGCAAAAGTAATTTGGCCTTTTTTTCTCTTTGAATTGGGTAGTGCTGAGGAGTGGAAGTGGAGCAGGGGAGCATAAAACATGCACGTTAAACTTTTGCGTTTGATACTCCAGCACATGGGGTGGAAGCACGTTGTGAGACGCATCCATTGTGACAAACAACTCAAAGAAAGAGTTAATGTAAAGAGAATTAATTTTCTCATTGTAGTGTTCTATCCCATGAGCTTTCCCAGACAGGTTGCCAAGATTGTTTGTGGTTTACCTTCCCTGCAGGTTGGATGCATGCTGGCTACCCAGTCATGCATCATTTGGAGTCAGTGACAGAGATGGTAGATGTGCAGTCTCTACAAGCCAATGGCCTTGGGGTGCCATTCATGAGCTGGACCACAATCAGAAGCAATCTGAATGGGAGTTTCCCCCTCACACAAGTGAAGTCACCCGCAATCTCTGGTCTGTTTATATAAATGAGACTGTGTTGGGCATCCCGAGAGCTAAGGCCCACAATGCACTTGCACTACAACTTAGAAAGAAGAAGATTCAAGATTACATTGAAAATGGAGCACAGCTGAAGGACTGAGAAGTATTTGCTGCCCTGGAGACATACCTGCAGGTAATCTGCAGGCAAATTAAGCTTGCAACAGATTTACAAATTGACCATTTTAATCCAGGGCTGCTTCTTTCCTTTTCCTCGCTTTCTGCAATCACTTGATGCCTACCCTGGTTTATCTCTCTCTGTTGACTATTATTCTCCAACAGTGTCTTTGTGTGCCAGCTGTTGGGATTCCACAAACTAACATGCGTCAGTCCTGATCTGCCACTGAGTAGCACACTTCAGTAGGAGACCCAGAGCTGCAGGGAAATGTTTTTGAGGCAGTTCTCAAAAAATGTAGTTGTTTTGAGTCATTTGTGATCTCAGCACAGTGTAAAGGTCATTGGTCTATGGAATGTACTGATTTGGGATGTAATGGTAAACCACAGCCTTTGAGCATTACCAAAGATGACTTCTGATCTTATACTGTTTCTCTTTTCTTCTGATTCATAGCTGCAAAAGGCCTTTGGATGGAAAGCCCTCCCTGAAATCTTTTCTGAATATCAAAATATAGCTGAGCTCCTGGATGATAATAACTCAAAAATGAATCTATAGGCAGAAACCTTTTCTTGTCTCGTGAAGAAGAATTTGGCTCCTTTCTATAAAGCCTGAGGATGGCAAATCCAGGGGAGACTTTCCCAGCAGCTGGCTGTTTCTTTCCCCGGTTGGTCAGATGATCCAATGAAGAAATATATCTCCTAAGCAGTTTTTTGCTCATGAAAATGAAAATGTGATCATCTGTGACAAAGTCAGTGCTCTGCAATAGTTTTAAATTGTGTGTGAATGGGAAGGTATTATAATGGATCTGAGCAGCAGCTCTACGTTGTACATATGATAGAAGAGTTCATTCTTGGCTCCCTCCCAAGTCTGTTTTTGTGTGTTAAGGTCCCACTACTTCCTTTTCCAACAGGAGTCATTTTAACCACAGAAGGGGAAATACTTGCTGTCTTAATACCTACGAAACAAAGCAACCACGTCCCAATTTTTTTTTCCTCTGTTTCCTTGTCTCTAAAAGGTTCTCTGTTCCAGACTTACTTTTGTTACAGGTATGCAAAGTTTGTTAATTAAGATCATTAGAAGAAGAGTAGGAACAGGGAAAAAAAGTCACTTTAAAAACAGAGACATGTTAGGAGATAACAAAGCTAGAATTAAATTGAAGAATTCAGGTGACATTATGGCTACAGCAAAGAGAAATAAGAATGATCATTCAAGGGAATACCTTGATCGATAGCATAGGAAAGGCCTTGATCTTTGTTCAGTGTTTTGAAAGGGGTTACCTTCATGCTCTGCTTTCAGAGTTAGTAGGTGTGTAGTGAGAAAATGCTGCTTTAGCTCATGTTGGAAGCAAAACAGTGTCCAGGCAGTGAAGTTACCACCTTAATCCTCAGCTAGAATAGACATGTTTCCTTCATGGTGTACCAGCAGAGTATGAAAAATTGTACTAGGCATGAATTTCATTTAGCATTTTCATCATGATCTCATGCTAATAAGTCTTGCTGATGCCACAAATACATGGACATTGTCGGTACAGAGTGTATGAACATTGTCTGAAAATAATGAGATATCACTGAAGACTGTAGTATGGGACACGGGATGAAATTTTAAAGTGCAGAACTCTTACGAACTCCTCATCAAGAGCTTCTTTCCTAAGCTAAGAGCTTATTGATGGGAAATGGCAGAGAAGAAAAAATCTGGGCATATTAGTGGGTCACTGAATAGCTTACAATATAGTGAAATGGAAATAAACGCAGAAGATAAGGGGAGGGGGAGTGAGGAACCAGCCTTAAGATTGGTTTTGTTAAACATAGTTTGCTTAGTTCTTGAAAAATTAAAGCCTGGGAGAGATTCTTTGATTATTCTCTGTGAATGATTGGACAACTGAAATCCAGAAATGCGGAAGAAACCTACCTCAGATATCTCCAGCAGCAGTAACTGCATGGAACCCTGTGCAGAAGAAATACTCAGGGGTCTGCCTGTGCTCTCAGATGCTGGCCCAGAGCTAGGGAAGATCTTTCCCCAACTTGGCATTATCAACATAAGAGATATCTGCTCTGTACATGTTTCCCCATCTTCTCCCCTGGGAAGGAGTCCGAGTAGTATGGTGTTTTATTTTAAAGCTGTAACACACACTCATGTGTTCAGGCATGGGTAGGTAGTCATTACTACTTTTTCACTTTAAAAGGGAGAAGGACCGTAAGGGATTGTGCTTTCTGCTCTGGGCAGAGGATTCATGATAACTCAGAGGATCTGTCTGTCAGTCTAGAACAGACTCCTGAGAGAGCTGTTTCCTATCTCAGGAATGCATTGTTCATCACAGCCATGAGCCCACAGCTTTATCTGATCCTTCAGATCCTCTAGGTGTGGGGTATCTTAAGAACCAAGGTTGCTCCTTTTATGAAAACCAGTGCAGGATCTGGAGCATGGTGCTTAGTGTCCTCGAGGTAGCCAAGGTTGAGAAGATGTGCTGCAGTGTTTTGCCTCTGCTAGCTTCTCCTAAAAGCTGCAGACTTCTTCCTTGGGTATACTGCACTGCTGTAGTGCCTCTGAGAGCTGGTGAGGACATGAACAATTTGCCAAGTTTGCCAGCTTAGGCCTGAAACCGCACACCAAATACAAACAGCTACTGTTATAGAAGATCTCATTTTTGTGAGCCTAATCTCCTGAAATGAATCAGCCAATTTATCATGGTTTATTATTTTCTCAGTGAACCCTAGTTTCTGCAAAGTGGTGGATAAACAGGAAAGCTGTGACAGCAGAAGGGATGAGAAAGAGCAGTGGTGCTATTTAAGGCTGAGGGCATCTCATTTCAGCCTCCCTGCTCATGCTCTACAAGCACTGGTACCATGAAAGGTCTCATGTCTTCTTGGATTCAACCTAA